AACATAAGAACTAAGGCATCTTCTGCCCCCCCCCCCCCCGTTTAAAAAAATTTGGCGGGGAGGTGTGTGCACTCGTCCAAGAAAGGAAGGACCCCCCATAGTGGGGCTTCCATGCCGCAGTCTCCCTGTTTCTCCATCTTTTAGGATTCTGGGCACACGTGTGTACATGCCAGGTGTATTTTTGTTTTCTTTTTTAAGAATTGTTTTATTTATCGGGGCCAGCAGGTGGCGTGGTGGTTAAGGCGCTGGACACTCCCACATGACTGACCATGGTTCGAGTCCTGGACCTGGTGGCTTGCTTTCTCGCTTTCCCTCTCTCTCTCTCTGTGTCTCATTCTGGTCAAATGAAAATAAACAGATAAATACATAAAATTAAATAATTAACAAAAATAATTGTTTTATTTATCATTATTATTATTAAATTTGACCAGAGAGAGACAGAGAGAAAGAGGGAAAGTGAAAAGCAAGCCACCAAGTCTGGGACTCAAACCACAGTCGGCCACGTGGGAGTCCAGCGCCTTAACCACCTCTCCACCTGCTGCCCCCGCCCCCATGTGTCTTTCATGCCTCCACTGCTGGGTCTTGAACTGCATTTGGCCATGTGGAATCCTAGTCCCTTACTCACTGGGCCATGGGCCATGTGTATATATATATATTTTTAAATAAGTATTTATTTATTTATTTATTTATTTTAATTTGACCAGAGAGGAACAGATCAAGTGAGAGAGAGAAAGAGAGGGAAAGTGAGAAAGCAAGCTGCCAGGTCTAGGACTTGAACCACGGTCAGCCATGTGGGGGTCCAGTGCCCTTAACCACCACATCACTTGCTGGCCCTGCCATATTTTCTTTCAAAATTACTTAATTATTTAATGATGGTTATTATTAAAAAAATTTTTTTACAATTATTTTTCTTAACTTTATTTATTAATATTATTTTCCAGTGAAAGAGAGAGGGAAAGTGAGAAAGCAAGCCACCAGGTCCAGGACTTGAACTGCAGTTGGCCATGTGGGAGTCCAGCGCCTTAACCACCACGCCACCTGCCGGCCCCTTATTATTTTAAATTTAACCGGAGAGAGAGGAGAAGGGAAAGTGAGAAAGCAAGCTGCCATGTCCAGGACTCGAACCGCAGTAGACTATGTGGATATCCAGGGATGTAACTGTTACACCACCTCCTGGTCCCTGTACCCTCTCTTTTCTTTTCTTCTTTTCTTTCTTTTCTTTTTTTTGGAGAGGTTTTTGCTATAGGGGCGCGTGCGCTTGCCAGAAAGACAGAGAGAGACAGAGAGACAGAAAGCAAGAAATCACCCCCCGGGGGGATGGCCATGCCGCAATCCCTTCTCCTCCATTCTCCTCTTGGGATCTTGGGCACGCATGCACACGCGCCCGGCGTGAGTTTAAGCCACCGGGTCCGGGACTCGAACTGCGGTTGACTACGTGGGAGTCCAGCGACATAACCATTACGCTAACTGCTAGTCCCTGTACCCTTTCTTTTTAAATTTATTTATTTATTCCATGAGAGACACAGGCTTCCCCACAGGGGGTTCACATTGTGGTTTCCCCCCACCTGTTTGTCCCAGAGACCTGGGGACTCGAACCCCTGACCCTACCATGTGGGCCCAGCATCCAGGTGCATGGCCTTACTGCTGCGCTACCATGCGGCCCCTTTCCAGGAAGCTTCTGAAGCCCCCGTGGAAGTTCCCTCCACCCTGGCGGGATGCGTGGAGCAGTGACATCTCCAGACGGGCCTCCGCCCGCCATGGGCCCCACTCACCCTCACTGCCTCTGTCTGTTGCAGGAAGCCTTGGGAGCAAGTCCCCAAAAAGCCAAAGCGGAAGAAAAGTAAGTGGAGCCCCAGCCTTGGTGGGGAGGGGGAGAGTAGGGTCAGGACCCCGGGCCCAGAGAGGCTGCGTCTCTGCCCCAGGCTGCACTGTAGGCAGGTTCAGAGAGGGGACCTGGAGCTCCGCCCTCCTGCACCCCAGCCCCACCCAGCCTGACCTCTGAACCCTGGGGCTGTGGGTCTTGGGCGTCTAGCAGGGCCAGGCTGCGAGGTCCAGGAGATGTCTGGGTGCCGTGTACCCCTCCCCTTCTCACCGCTTCCAGAAGCAGGTCCAGCTGGGACCCTGACCCCCAAACCCAAAGGGGAGGGGGCTGAGACCAGGAGGCAGGGCCTCCGTCATCCCCGTGGACGTGGCTGAGTGGATGACACCAAGCACAACCCCAGGGTCCCCTCTCGGGGTCCCTTGTTGTCCCCCAGTCTATGGGTCCAGGTCTTCAGTCTCTGGGCCAGTGGAGGGGCCGCAGCCATCCCACCAGTCCCGGTTCCCCATCTGGACCCTGCTGAAGCCCTCATTCTCTCCCTCCTCCCTGGGCGCCCTCAGGGATGGGAGTCCTCATCCCCCCGCCCCCCCCTCAGGCCAGGTTTCCAGGAAGCCTCGTACTTGCCCTGAGCCACCCAGCCAGGAAGTCGCATTTGGTGGTCCGGGGCCACTGTACCCCCTCCCCACATGCCCAGCCCTGGCCACAGGGGACTCCGGGAGGAGCCAAGCAGACAGACGACTGCCCTTGGGCAGCCATGGGGCGACGGGCAAGGCCGTGGGACCTAGGAGCTCCCCGGAGAAAATGGTCAGCAAGCAAGGTCACCTCGCATGACCCGACTGCGGGTCCCTGCGGGCCTCTCCGAGGAGCGCCCTGCTGCGGGGAGACCCGGGGAGACCTGAGTGGGAGGGCCTGTGTCTGGCAGCCACGCACAGGCTGTGAGGCGAGGGTGTAGCTGGTTCCTTCGAAGAACAGCAAGGCTGTGGGATGGAGTGCATGGAGCAGGCCAGGGGGACAGTGGGAGGTGAGGACAGGGAGGTGAGGTGGGAGCAGGTGGGTTCTGAGCAGGGGGACCTGGCCCCAGCCGGTGTCCACAGGCGCTCCCTGGTGGCCGTGGGGAGCGGCGAGACCCAGGGCCCACTGCCCTGAAGGAGGTGACCAGAATCACAGTGCACCATGCACCTTCCCCGCGCCCGGCCCGTGAGGATGGTCTGTTAGCATCTCCGGGTGCAGGGCTCAGGAGGGTGTCCGCACCCAGCCCGAGGGCCCAGGGGGGTGGAGGGCTGGTTGCCACAGGCGGGCGGGCCCTGCCCCTCATGCCTGCGCCCGGCTGTGTCCCCAGGGCGGCGCCGCAACGTGAACTGCCTAAAGAACGTGGTGATCTGGTACGAGGACCACAAGCACCGCTGCCCCTACGAGCCCCACCTGGCCGAGCTGGACCCCACCTTCGGCCTGTACACCACGGCCGGGTGGCAGTGCGAGGCCGGCCACCGCTACTTCCAAGACCTGCACTCGCCCCTGAAGCCGCTCAGCGACTCGGACCCCGACAGTGACAAAGGTGGGTCTGCCGGCATCTGCGACTCCGCTGGGGCTCCGCAGCCCCTCTGGGGTGTCTCGCCTGGGCCCCCGACAGCCACCTCAGGCCACAGACGTCACAACCACTGCAGCGCCCTGGCCTGGCTTCAGGGACAGGGCGCAGAGTCCGGCCCCGCCTGACCCTTCCCAGAACTGCGGTCTCCACGTCCTTACAGAACCCGAGGGGGAGATGTAGTCCCCGTTTCTTTCCCATTGTTTGTTTTTAAAGGTTTTTGCTATAGGGTGCATGCCAGAAAGAGAGAGAGAGACAGAAAGTGAGAAATCACCCCCCAGGGGGGATGGCCACGCCACAATCCCTCCTCCTCCATTCTCCTCTCGGGATCTTGGGCACGCACGCACACGTGCCGGTGCGAGTTTAAGCCACCGGGTCCGGGACTCGAACCAGTCGACTTCATGGGAGTCCAGCGACATAGCCATTACGCTCACTGCGGGTCCCCCCCCCTTTTTTTCTTAAATGTGGCTACAGGGCATGTGTGCTCACTGGAGGGAGGTGGAGAGAAAGTGAGAAATCACCCCCGGGGACAGACAGTGACATAATCCCTTGTCCTCCATTCTCCTCTCGAGATTTTGGACACACACGCACACATGTGCCTGGCATTTTTCAAGCTGCCAGGTCTGGGACTTGAACTGCGTAGCTGGCATGTGCAGTCCAGCTGCCTTAACCTCACCGCCGTCTGCTGGCCCTCCAACAGGGTCTTGGTGCAATCCCTGCCCCCAGCCTCAGCCAGCCCTGAGCGGCGGGCACAGTGTCCGGGTATGCAGGGAGAATCCCTGGAGGCCAGCTGGAACCTGCCAGGGGGCCCACGGTGTGGAGGGTTGCAGCACCGTGGGGAGTTTACTGTCCGCCCCCCATTTCCCCCTCTGAGCTCTCCCTCTTCCTCGCTCTGCTTTCCCTGTTCCCTCGTCCTGCTCTCTCTCCCAGTCTCCTTTCCTCACTCCCCGTCTCTCCCGGCCCTGCCTCTCTCCCACCCACCCCAGTCCCCACGTGGGCGGACTGCCTGTCCAGCGCCAGGGCAGTCGCACCCCGGCCCGGATAGCCCTGGAGGGGAGCAGAGGAGACCCTGAGGGTGGCTGGCGGGGGTGCTGCCTGCTGCTGTGAGGAGTGTGGGCCGGCAGCCAGGCACCCGCCAGCGCCGAAGGTGGGGTCGGTCACCAGGGCGGAGCCTGCCCTGGCAGCCTGCTCAGAGCAGGTGGCATCCCAGCTGGCCGAGGGGAAGCCGTGGGCGAGAGGTGTTCCGGGCGGGCACCCTCGCCCACAGCGTCCCACCGCGCATGGGCCGGGCTCCCAGAGTGCAGCCGCAGGCCTGTGCTCCGCAGCCCGCATCCCCGGCCCCGCACATGCTCTGCAGCCTGAACCTGTGCTCCGCAGCCCGCACCCCGGTCCCCACATGCTCTGCCGCACCG